CCTCTGTTCTGTGTACTTATGCACGTGTGAGTTCAAGAGCTTATGTGTGTTGGACTGTAGGGGTGGGAGAATGTTTGCATGCATGTGCACACCAGACAACATTGTGATCCAGTGACAAAAAAGTGTGTTTCCTGCAGTAATTAACTTCTAAATTTTTTTACCCATTTTAAGCTTTGCCCCCATGTTTCAATTTCTGGTATTTTTGAACAAAAATCTATGAATGTCAAATATAAATATCATCACCCCAAATTAAGAAATGGTTCTGGCCCAGCTTATCTGTCCGAACGCATCTCTCCCTATGAACCATCTAGGTCTCCAAGATCGTCTGGGGAGGCCCTGCTCTCGGTCCCGCCTCCTTCGCAGATGCGACTGGAGGGAACAAGAGATAGGGCCTTCTCAGCGGTGGCCCCTCAGCTATGGAACGTCTTCCCTAGGGATATCAGATCAGCCCCCTCCTTCCTAACATTTTGAAAAAGAGTTAAAACCTGGCTTTTTGAGCAAGCATTTGCAGATGCAGTGTAACAGGCTAATTTAAATCCACAGAATGATTGGATGGTGGGACTGGGAAATGATTTTAGTAATGAGACATTGAGGAGTTATGTTTATTGTTTTTATTGTCTCTATTGTTTTTATATGGTTTATATTATATGTTGATGTTTTAATTATATTTTATGTTGTTGGGGGCATTGAATTTTGCCGATTGTAAACTGCCCTAAATTGTCTCCAGGCTGAGAAAGGTGCAATATGCTCTGGTGTAAATGGAGGAAATAAGCTGAGATAAATAATAATAATAATAATAATAATAATAATAATAATAATAATGTATTGTCGAAGGCTTTCATGGCCGGAATCACTGGGTTGTTGTAGGTTTTTCCGGGCTATATGGCCATGTTCTAGAGGCATTTTCCCCTGACGTTTCGCCTGCATCTATGGCAAGGATCCTCAGAGGTAGTGAGGTCTGTTGGAATTAGGAAAATGGGTTTATATATCTGTTGAATGACCAATCTGATATATAAACCCATTGTCCTAATTCCAACAGACCTCACTACCTCTGAGGATGCTTGCCATAGATGCAGGCAAAATGTCAGGAGAAAATGCCTCTAGAACATGGCCATACAGCCCAAAAAACCCACAAGAACCTAGTGAATTAATTTTTTTAACAAATTCAGAAGCATTTAAATATGTTTGTGTGTGCAAAGGGGCAGGGAATGACAAATACTAGAGATTATGTCTCATGGGGAAAAAAAACATTCTAAAGTCATCCCTCAGTTTTTAGGCTCATGTCCACAATTTTTCCATATTTGCTTCCTATATCAGGTAGAAGATATGAAGAGGATGAACTAGTTCACTGTAGTTTACCCCAGCCTGGTAAATCAAACTCCTATCAGCACCTCAGTAGCAAGATTCTAACTTAGAGAAGAATTTATTTCAGTATACATACGGTAGAGCCTGATGCCATCTTCAGGTTTCTTGGAGAATGCTTTGAAAAACTGGAAGGAAGCAAAACATACAGTTAGGTTCAACCGCTAAGCACCACCTGTTTAAAGATCTCATCAGACACAAGTCCTCCCCAGTTTCCACACACTACTAAGACATTTCAGGGACAAAGTGCCACAGAGTCCTTAACACAATGTAAGATTAGGTTGCTTACCTGAAACTGCCTTTCTTCGAGTGGTAGTCTGTGAAATTCACACACAGGTGTGCATTTTACAGACACCATGCAGAAAGAGGTTAGGTTGCTTACCTGTAACCGCCTTTCTTTGAGTGGTAGTCTGTGAAATTAACACCTTGTGTGTGCATTTCACAGACACCACGCTGAAGAAAACTGCACTTTGTCCCTGAAATGTAGTAGAAGTGTAGAGAACCAGGGGGCGAAAGGAGACAGGAGGAAACCTGATGCTCCTAAAAATGAGCTCCTGAGGCTCCTGGGAATGAGAGAACGTGGGATGAGATCTGTCAGATTTGTCCATGTTGAATTGTTTCAGTGACATGGAGGAATAGGCAGTCTCCTATACTCCACTTCTTTTACAAAATCCTTCTGCATGAGTCTGGAAGAGTAATTTTTTGTTACCCTAAGGAATAGTGCTATTATAAGATATCACAACTTTGCTTTCACTGCATTTTCTTCTTTATTGTAACCTAGGTTTTCGAAACTGTGCTTTTGCTAGCTTTTTAACTGTTTTGTTCTTTTTTTTTTACCCACTATAGGAATTTGAATGCCTATGAAAGTTCAGAACCAATTTATAATAACCTTATAATTTTGTCTTAAATTAGGCCATATCTTTATAAGTCATATCTCAAATCACATTGGGGCCCAAACGTATTATTTTAATTATGTTAAAAGCCATGGGAGGAAGAAGAACGAAAGTCAACAAAAAAATTCTTATTGTTTTCTCTCTTCATTTTCTTTTTTATCTCACTATTTTTTATCCACAGTTTTTAATGCGTCACAGTGTTGTTGTTAATGTTTTTGCTTGCTTATGAGTTTGTTGTTATTGTATTGTTGTTGTTGTGTTTTACTGATGTATTTGGGCTCGGTCTCTTGTAAGCCGCACCGAGTCCTTCGGGAGATGGTAGCGGGGTATAACTAAAGGTTTATTATATTATTATTATTATTATTATTATTAGTCTTAATATTCTATATAAAATGTTATCTTTGTTTTATGTTATCTCAATGTTATAACTGATAAAATACCATATAAAAAAGTCATGCGAGGAAGGGATCCTGGCAGTAATAATAACATTATTCTTATATCCCATCACCATCTCCCCAGAGGGACTCAGGGTGGCTTACATGGGGGCTAAGCCCGGCACCAAGAAGAATTCACAAAGTAGAACAATAATTTAAAACATATACAATAAACAATATAATTAAAACAATTAAAACAAAAAAACCCCAAAAGAAATGACATCATAAAAATAGACGGAAAAGTGGGCATTTTCAGATTCAAGAGGGCAGGGTCCGTGCAAAACATAGAGAAAGTGATGACAAAAACCAAAACAATAGGCAAAGGGATTTAAAATGTCACTGGTCTAATGGAGAGAAGGCAGGTATGGGAGGAAGGGGTCGTGGCAACGTGGTTTATAATAACACTGGTCTGATGGAGGGAAGGAATGCAGGGGAGGAAGGGATCATGGAAAAGGGGGTTATAATATCATTAATATTCAAAACATCAATGGAAGAAAGGAAGGTATCGGAAAGACAGATCATGGCAAAGGGGTTTAAAATCCCCCCTGCTTTCTCTCCCAAATGAGATGAGGTCCATAGTAATCTTAGCTTTTGATATTGTTCTACAGCTAGCTTTTAATTGTGTTTTTCTACGATTTTGAAGTTTTTCTTGATTAAAAATAAGAATGCCGAGTAGGTGGGGACTGCACTCGCTTGTGTGATGGTTCAGAATGTGGGACAGAACAGGAGAAAGGCTGGAGAACATAAACCGTCCGATAGGAATTGTAAAATGAAACAATATCCTTTAAAATAGGAAGAGATGATACGCTTTGTTAAGAAAGCAATCTCCCTCGCCACCCTAACCCTAAACTGCCATATAATCCAGTATCTGATCCCAGATTATCTGCTTTGAACCGGATTATCTGGGTTTACACTGACAGTGTACATGGGGCCAAAGTCATCAAAATGTGCTATGGGGTGTGCAAATGTCATAACTAAATTTAAAGATCCTGTTTGCTTCATATGGCATCATGGAATGTTTGATGAGGAGATATGAGTGGTCATGCATAAGAATCAGTGGCTGCATCTGTGATTTTAAAAGAGCTGCTGGGAGAGATCATGTTGTGACTCAGCTGGAATCACAGAGTGATGGTATCAATTATTCTGATGGGGATGATCAGATGGAAAGCAAGGATGTTCCTGTGTTAGATGAGGAAGACCAGGATCAGGGGGCAGAAGTTCAGTTGTTTCCCACAGCAAGGGTTGACGCTGAGGAAAGTGAAACTACTGAGACTGAGAGCCAGGTGCCTGATGAAGAAAGGGAGGGATGATAGTTCTCAGCCAGCTAACAAGGGATTTGACCTCGATGGGGCTGGTGATTTAGATAGGGCTGATCGCTTGGAATTGAAAGTGCGAAGGAGTGTCAGGATCGCTGGGAGGTGAGAGAGAGAGGCCTGAGGCCATAGGAATGTCTTCATGCTGGCCCAAGAGTATTAAACAAACAAGTCTACATAGGGACCACCAAACGCAGCATTGCCCAAACACGAATCAAGGAACATGAAAGGCACTGCAGACTACTTCAACCAGAGAAATCAGCCATAGCAGAGCAACTGATGAACCAACCTGGACACAACATATTATTTGAGAACACAGAAATGCTGGACCACTCTTACAACCACCATGTCAGGCTGCGCAGAAAAGCCATTGAAATACACAAGCATGTGGACAATTTCAACAGAAAGGAAGAAACCATGAAAATGAACAAAATATGGCTACCAGTATAAAAAACTCAAAAATTACAACAGCAAAACAACAGAGAGTAAACAATCAGGCACATGAAATCACTCTCAACAAAAGATTCCCCGCAGGCACTTCCAAGCCATTAAATGCTAATCAAGGTAGTCAATTGAAACATTCACCCCTAGCTCCAGCAGACAAAAGTCCTTTGTCCCACCCTGGTCATTCCACAGATATATAAACTCATTTTCCTACTTCCAACAGACCTCACTACCTCTGAGGATGCTTGCCATAGATGCAGGCGAAACGTCAGGAGAAAATGCCTCCAGAACACTGCCATATAGCCCGGAAAAACCTACAACAACCCATTAAACAGACTGTTTGAATGTGCCTCAGTGTCAGAGCAACTTCACGCTTTAACCAAAAGAATTGTAGCTTTTCATGTTCATGTTTTAGGACTTTGTCATGCACTTGAGGGACTTTGCCTTGCCTGTGTCTTCATGGATCTTGTTTGCCTATGTACCTTGGATTGATCTTTTGAAATATACTTTTGCTTTTTGAACTTTTTATCTTTTATTTGCAATAAAACTACAAAGACAACAGCTGGTGTGTTCTTTGGTGTCTTAAGCAAGATGGTTCTACTCCGAGGTGCGACAGATCTCCATATCCATCAAGTCAGCAGAGACTCACTAAAGCTCTCAACTGTTGATTTAAAGTGTTTTACTTTGGAGTGTAAAAATCTGAGCAAATTGGAATTAAAAATGTGCCAATGCCAGGTTGTGTCTCAGAAAAATATGACCTGTACCTGGTTCTCTCCTTAGTTCTTAGGTCAACCCTCCTGTTTAAGGAGATCCATTAGCTGCCGTTCATCTTCCGGTCCCAATTCAAGGTGCAGGTGCTTACCTACAAAGCCCTAAATGGTTTGGGACCCGCCTACCGGCGTGACTGCATTTTCATATATGAACCCACACGATCTCTCCGATCATCTGGAGAGGCCCTGCTTACGATCCCACCTGCGTCGCAAGCACAATTGGTGGGGAGAAGGGACAGGGCCTTCTCCGTGGTGGCCCCCCGACTCTGGAACTCTCTCCCCAAGGACATCAGACAAGCCCCAACATTGGCAGTCTTTAGGAAGAGTTTGAAGACATGGCTGTTCCAGTGTGCCTTTCCAGAATAGGAAACTCCTAGCATCAAGATTGTCTGCACACAGCACTTATCTCCAAAAACCTATCCATCTCATCTGTCATGTTCAGCATTTTAAAATTGTAATCATTACATTTGGTCTGGCCTTAGTTTTAAATGTGTAATGGTGTTATTGTCTAATGTTTATTGCTATTGTTCTAATGTTTATTGCTTGTTTTATGAGTTTATTTATTGTTGTATTTGTTATGCTGTTGTTTTATTGATGTGTTGGGCCTCGGCCTCTTGTAAGCCGCACCGAGTCCTCCTTCAGGAGATGTTAGGTATAAATAAAGGATTATTATTATTATTATTATTATTATTATTATTATTATTATTCTGGGGGACTTCTCTCAGCATTCGTTATGGGGTTTTGGAATGCTTTAAAAACTTTAAAGGCCATTAAAAAAAATAAACAAGGTCCAGCCAAACAAGAGCTGAATTCTTACCAATAAAATAGATTCTGCCTTGAAGACTCCAGGCACATGCAGATGAGGTGTTACAAATAAAAACAGGAGAGAGAAAGGAAGAGAAAAACTCCCACAGTTGAAGAGAAAATAAACCAGCTTGGTGCTCTAACTGCACATCCTGGTAAAAGTCCTAGTGAACAAACAGATCTTCCAGCTACAGATGCAGGTGGGTCCTGGACACAATGTCCAGAAACACACAATCACAAGGACTTTTGGTTGCCTAAAAACCAAAGGAATTCAACTATTGGAGCCTTTCTCATGAAAGCTATGCCACAAGCTGAGCTGCCTGAGAGCAGCTCTTGTCTCAGTGCTCACAGGAGGCAACAACAAAACAGAGCAGCTTGAAAGGGAACTTTCCCTTCTGTTCCCCTCTCCTCCAGTCAAATAATAAAACAAAGCTTATCTATGGGGAAATCTACCTCCAAGCAATACAGTT